TATATATATATATATATATATATACATATAGCGCCGACCAAAATAAGAATCTCAGAGAGTAATTAAATTACACTAATTATTCCACTGCATTGACATCGTTCGGCTATTCTCTCGTCTATCTAGTTGCGATGCATATTATTAGGTTCTATTAATGTGCAATTATAAAAGCTATTGTGGAGAACGTATATAGGAAACGATTGGCCAATACTTTTTTCATATAAGCCGATCTGCCTCTTTTCTCTCTCCAATAAAAGGTATCGACAAAATGCAGAAGGGACGTCAATCCGAGAATGAATTCGTGGGCGTTCGGCTATTCTGTATCGGACTGTTGCGACGATTAAAATGATAAAAACGTACGGTATGACGCATATATTTCTGACGTTTCTGAGAAAGTATAATTCTATGCGCAAGTCATTTGTCATATATGTACAATTTCTCTCCGTCATCTATTCTCAGAAATATTATATATCTTTGCTATAATATATTCGAGAAAATCAAATAACTGCTAAATAAACATAATAGTTTCAAATTAATTATTAAATAATTCTGTAAAATTGCCTATCTCGACGTAATTTTAGAATTTTATAGGTGCTATCTGACTGATTAATTCCACTTTACTGTGACTAATTATTGAGATTCGGTAGACCTCATTAAAGCCGATATCACTGATATGAAAATCACATTTCTAGAAATTTTGGAGAAAAACAGATTTCTCGACGTTCTCTTCTCTTGTCGAGAATCGAGGGAAAGTCGGGGTGTATCGAGCTTGCCATCGGAGCGAATCGTTGTCGCTTATCCTATTGTTGCAGCAGAATAGAAAAAGAAATGCGGGTCAGCGGGTGGTTAAGTGCTACCACGGAAACCTTTAGGACAGTTTACCACTTCGGCCGTGAGCTCCGGTCGTTTCCGAGTCCCCATTAAATACGCCGAGTTGCGAGAGTTGGACACCCATTGACTTCCGACGACGTCACACGGGAGATGTTTTCGCGACTCCACGGATCGAATATCTCGTGGCTCGCGCGCTCAGCTCCACGGAGGGTGGTATGTATTAAAATGAAATGAAATGAAATGTGAATGTTGCCTCTGTGTGTGTGTGTGTGTGTGTGTGTGTGCGTGCGTGCGCGCGCGCGTATAATTCGCGAAATCGGGAAACTGCATCGACAAAGCCTGGTATTCTCGTCACATATTTAGCGCTAAATGCGGCAACTGTCCAATATCGAGTTTTATTTATTGCACGCGAATATTTCGTTCGTGATGCTAAATGTGTCTTGCATGAAGAATATAATGACCTCATGGCTTTAACCTTTCTATGTGGAAGTGAGAACATAATATGATTAGTAAAGCCAGTTCCATTCTAATATTGCCGCAAATGATGATTGAGAGCAAATGGCAAACTTCTTTTATAAATATACATATAGATAAAGAACGTTTAATATTTGATTTATCGGAAATATGTATATTCCATATGCGCGACTTAATACATCTGTAATCTCTTGTATATAAACGTAATTATATATTTTTAAGAATCTTAAGTCTACATGTGTTTTATATTTTATCTGAAAAAAGGACATCCTTACTCATCGTTTTATCGTAAAATTATTTCAAATCGTCTAAGAGATTTAAAGTAGTTTTACGATATCAGGCGAAATCTGCGCGGATTCTTCGTCAGGCGACATATTATTCATTGTATTACAATAAAAATAATTGAAAATGGTAATAATGAACTTTTCAATTTTCATGCAATAAAAATAAAACCTTAAAACCAACTACATTATTGGGGCCATATTCTCGAAAAATATTACATACGAAAGTACACGAAAATATTATAGCATATGTTACATATATTATAGATTGTCTTATTATAGATTTCCTTAATATTTTTATATAAGAAATGGTTTGAGGATGCCCCTGTACCTAGAAAATTACATTATTTTCACTAAAATTTTATTTCATTTAGAAATAAACATTTGAAAATCATTCAGTGAAGTCAAATTTGAATAACTTTAGATTATATCATACATGTAAAGTAAGTATTACGAAGAAATACATTTAAATAAAAATGTAATAGGAATAAATGTGTACGTTTTAACTAAATTAAAGTGTAAAAAACATTCCCGCATGATTTAAAAAAAAAAGGTAGTATATAAGATCTCTTGCATAAATTGCAATACTTCTTATGCATAGAACAGACGAGTAGGAAATTCAAAACAAAGATAGCTGAAGACCGCAACAACATCAATAGAAAAACAGGCAGTCTGTCATTATTGAACACAAAATATAATTTATAATCATGAGTTTCAGTGGAATAACACGAAAATTTTTACAATTTAGGAAAAAGATAATTTCTGAAATACCAAACATTAAAATTCAAGAGAATAGTTTAAATTTACTGAACTCTTGCATCATGCTTATATTAACATTTTAAACAAGATTTGATATAATAGCACAAAATTTTAACACGGTTAAACCATATTTACATGACAATCATTTACATTTTTACTAATGATATATTGTATTATTTGACGCGTCACTTACAATGTTTGTGTCTCGATTATTATTATCTTTTGTACTTGATTCGATACGTAGTATCGAATTTCTGGTTGATACCTAGATATCTTCTTAACTTATAATTTGCATTTTAAAACAACCATACATGTTTGACATCTAGTTATGGTTTGCAGCGGGTGAGTTACTGAACTTTTGAATTTTTTCGGGTAACTGTCTAATTCTCTCAATCATTCTATTGATCTTCGCTATTTTATTAGGTAATTATGCCGATGAGGGGAGCCAGCCTTTGACATATGTTGTCAAGGTCATGACCCTGAGTGACCTCCAACAAGTTTTAGCCGTCACTCGTTATTCGTTAAAAAGTTATTAACAGTTAAAGTTAGTATTTTTTGAGATGTATTATTCCACATACATTTTTTAATTCCACCAAATACTTTATTCAACATTATTATTAATAGGATAGTCAGGGGAGAGGGGGGGTGAGAGTCAAAGGTGAGAGTCGGGTGCCTCATTAAAAGGATTTATTCAATGGAGACAAGAATTGAGGCATTTTTTGATATTATGAGTGAAATGTATCCTATTAATAATAATATTGAATAAAGTATTTGGTGGAATTAAAAAATGTATGTGGAATAATACAATTATGCATCTCGAAAATTACTAACTTTAACTGTTAATAACTTTTTAACGAATAACGAGCGACGGCTAAAACTTGTTGGAGGTCACTCAGGGTCATGACCTTGACAACATATGTCAAAATCAAGGTCATTAGGGCTAGCTCCCCTCATCGCCATAATTACCTTTGAATATTTTATAATTCTATGTAAGGAACTTTAAATATATTGTATAAATTGTAACTCACAAATTATCGTGATTAGTGCTCTCACTCGCCCTTCTTTTTAATGATATTAACTAAATTAGATCGAATAAATTAATATATAATCTCAAAAATTATAAGTCTAGAAGTTAAGATGTAGCCACAATAGAAGGAATAAGGAGTTAAGAGAATAAGGAATAAAGATATCAACCTATCAAGTATCAGATACATCGGAATACACGATTTCTGATAGGTTGGAATCGTTATTCCTTATTCCTAATTTCTTATTCCTTCTAATGTCACCGCATCATTATAAGTTCAATATTACATGTTTTAAATTAAATTTACATATATGTATGTGTAATGAACAAATATTTCTATTGATCTTTATACAATGATTTTATCATATTAACAATAAACCGATTACAAGGATAATATTTGAAAGAAGATGATTAGTTCAAACAGAATAATTAATTCGTATCTATAAGTATATATATATATATATATACACACAATGCATTACATAATGAATATTAGATAATGTATTACGCGTATATTTACATACGAATTAATTATTCAATTTGAACTAATCACTTTTTTTTTTAATATTACCCTTGCAGCTATATATCGGTTTATTGTTAAACGTGATAAAATCATTATTATTTGTCCTACGAATTAACGAATTAACGATCGCAATTCTACTCATGTATACATATATATCTTTTGTTGACGTTTCCCATTATAATATAATGGAATAATAAATATTAAGAACTAATTATAAGTATGGTACGCCGAGAGAAAATTACAATTTTTTATTCGGCCAAATAAAAATTGAAAAAGGAGAAAATTAAAACAGCAAAAAATTTATGTAAAGGCTAAACACACTGTGGCTTGGTTAGATTTGTATTTTACGAGTTGACGTAGTTACACTTAATATTATACTTGATTTGCGGCTGTTCTTTGTCGTGGAAGAATGCGTTTTATGTGTATTTTATACATAAAAATAATAAATAAATAATGTTTATATAAATGTATATACGTTTTTTGTATAAAGAAATAATCATATGAAATTAATGAATAAAATTAATATTTCATGGAATGTTGATAAGGAAATGAGAAAATATATTTATTAAGCCAACGTTAATATAAAATTATTATAAACTTTGGAAAAATAATACAAAAATTGGAAAAATTAATTATTTAAACAAAAACCACATGTGTAATTAATTCTCAGCGTCACTAGCTCCACTGCATCCTTCATGAAGAATATTCAGAACACAGGCAGCATTGAAACGATCCAATCGACACAAACTAAAAGTAACATAATGTTAATGTTATAATTTCGCTCTCTACAATGTAATCGTTATGTAACACTATGTGTTATATTACATTTATACTGTGGAATACGAAATTATAACATTGATGTCATGTTAATTTTAATTTATCGACTGGGTAGAGTGCCATATCTACCGAATTCTTCGCAAATAGTGTATTTTTCATTGGGAGAAAACTTCGAATTATTCATGCGCACAATTTCCTGCCACAAATTGATATGATAGAATTGATATGATTATTCAAAGATTTTTCAACTTAATTCAATGAATAATAGTTCAAAAAAACATATACATAATAATAACGTATTTTAGTAAGGTATGCACGATTAAATAAAAAAGTAAGAATAAGAATTTACTATCTTATTTTCCAAATGTCAAAATTATTATTAAAATATGTAATTTCACTTTTTCTCACTTTCGCGCCGTTAACTACATTTTCAACTATAACTTATGTTTATATCTGAAAAGAACTACTTCTAGCCTAGAAATTTTAACGCGGTAGCGGCCAGTTATCGAAAAAGTGCTAAACCAAAATGCGTACAATTACCCGCTGTGCACCATTACCCTACATTCCTTTGCTGAATATACATATAGGTTAAAAAATATTCAAATAGCAAATAATAGAACATTGCGGATGTGAGAATCAAAGAAACAGATCATATATTACTCCACGGTAAAAATAAAACACGTGTCGCGTACGCAGGGTAGAGATA